TCCATGTTGTTCTCAAAATGACAGAATTTTAAGGGTATAAAGTAACCTACTATGTATATGTTCCACATTTTCTTTTCTTATTTTTTTCTTTTTGAGAGATTTTTGCTATAGGGTGTATGCACTCACCAGAGAGACAGAGAAAGACAAAGTGAGAACCCCACCCCCCAGGGAGATGGCCACACCATGATCTCTTTTGCTCCATTCTCCACTTGGGATTTTGGGCACACATGTACATGCGCTCAGCCTGAGTTTTAAGCCATTCAGTCTAGGATTCAAACCCCGGTCAGCTACATGGGAGCCCAGTGACATAACTACTACAGCATCTGCTGGTCCTCATACACATTTTCTTTGTCCATTCATCTGTGATGGACACTTAAGTTGATTCCACATCTTGAATATTGTGAATAATGCTGCAATGAACATGGCAGTGCAGATATCTCTTCAATATAAAAAGTGCTGAGAGAGTAGATTTTAAGTGTTCTCATAACACAAAAGATAAGCTGATACATATATTAACTAGCTTGATTCAGCCATTCCACAAATACATATTTCAAAAGATTATATTTTATACATTAAATATATACAAATTTATGTCCATTTTAATATTTATTATTAATAATTAAGATTAACATAATCAAACTATCTCAGAAACCAGATTTTCCTGAATTTAGATACTTACTATACAAAAAGTAGAAAATTAATAATTCAACCATAAAATATATAATCTGACAACATGTTTCTTCTCCTTTCCTGTCATTTCTCTAAAAAATAGTAAGTTGAGATGTGAGCTTCTGCCACATGCATCATATCTACAACTTATTTTCTAAAGAAACATCACTGAAATAATAAATTTTTCTCTCATTCTATAGGAAATTTGTATTAATCCTCTTCTTTTGTTTCTTGGCTATGGCCCCGGGGAAGTGGTCTTAAATACAAGCAATATTTTATGTACTTCCTGTTATATGTTTCTCTTTGTCATCCCTACCTTAGTCTCTTCTACCATCTGTCCTTATCCTTATATTTGCTGCATTATTTAGGCCTTGAAGCTTATGCTTTTTTTAAAATCTCTTGACTTTAACACTTTATCTGACCAACGTAGTAGCACAAACTTCTTAGCTGTATCAAAAGGAAGTATGATTTATGTGTTAAATAATTATCTTGAGTTTTTTCTTTTCGAGTGTTGGAGATATGGACCATAGGATATGGCTGACTTGGTAGTCCTTAGCTATAATAAATACTATTTCTGAACCTTTCCTATACACAATACCTTTTTTACTAAATATAATCATTTATATGCCCCAAAGGGAAATATTATAGGACCAGAGGAGCTGGAGTGGGGAATCTTGACATTGCAGATGGATTATGAAATTCATGTTATTCAGTACACATAAAAAGGAGTGGAAGAGTTTAAGGCAATTTGTCAGTTTCAAAATATTTATAAAGGCTTACACTGTATCACAGTATAGAATCAGAAGTCCTATAGGGCACATGCGCTTGCCAGAAAGACAGAAAGAGACAGAGAGATAGAAAGCAAGAAATCACCCCCCCCCCCCCAGTGGGAATGGCCACGCCGCAATCTCTTCTCCTCCATTCTCCTCTCAGGATCTTGGGCATGCACACACACACGCCCAGCGTGAGTTTAAGCCACCAGGTCCGGGACTCGAACCTTGGTTGGCTACTTGGGAGTTCAGTGACATAGCCATTACACTAACTGCTAGTCCCTGGACATATATTTTTAAAGAAAATAATACCTTATTCTCAGAGTGCACAGTTCCAAGATTTTGCCACTGAATTTTAGGTATTATTAATCCTTAAAATCACTTAGAATGTACAATTATATGTAGAAATAAGTGCTTCAGCTTTTTTTTTCCAATTTATTTGCATTCATTCACTGTACATCATTACAGCATACAAAATGAGATTTTCCATCCAGAGTACACTGTATATTGTCTCAATCAAGTGCTTCAGCTTTTGAAACTTGCAGCTAATCTCCTCTCTTACCAGTGACAAGAATTTGTAGTAATGGAGATTTGTTTCTTATTTTCCCACTCCTCACCTCTCAGGTTGTTAACTGGTTTCTGATCCTTCCAGTGTCAAAGTGGAGGTAGGAGAGTGAGAAACTATGGGAAGAAAAAAATGGCCACAGAAGTAGTTACTTAATTAGTACTATATTCAGTTGTCCTTATATGTTATGGGCCTTCTGTTTGTTGAAATTATTCTGTATACACTGTGTTGGGGAATTTACAAATTGTGAAATATGTTCTATGCTCTTAAGGAGTTGATAACATAATTTAGAAAACAAATCCTGATAGTCTTATTAGGAAAATATTTTATCCAAAGAAATGAATGGATAAAATAAAGATATGTTCTGTGACATCTACCAACACTGCCCAACTATAGGTTTTTAGAAGCAACTTCACAGTATCTCACTACTTATCCTTGCTCCACTCCTAATACTATGATAAAAACTATTTTTCTTTTCCTTTCCTCTACCCCTAACCTTTTCCTTGGACTTCTTGGTCCAAGTTAAGGATTTGGATGGGAGATTGTTCTTCAACAGAATTTGAGTTGGAAGATAGTTGTAGTGTGGCCAGACAGCTAAAACCACCTATAAGGTTTCACAAATAAAGTTGAAACTCAAATGGGTTTTGAAGCCTGGGGACAACTTAGTCAGATAGAAGTGAAGGCAGGATTACTTAAATATAAAGGAACAGTACAGAAGCAGGCATGAGAAT